TCCATAAACCAGCCCAGTTTGCATGGATCAGGGATTTCTGGATGAATAACAGTATCCTGGCTCCATATATTGGCCTGCAGATGTGCACGCAATATATGTTGATATAAGGCTCCTGCAGTTGGTGGCAGCTTATCTACACCTTGATTGTTTGGCAGAGTTTTGAATCTTTTCCATCGTAAAGTTGAGGCATCTTTAGCAGATACTTTCTTCGTTCCGAGAAGACTACACAAAAACTCCTCGCATCCTGTTCTCACGTTCAAAGGTGGTGTGTTCCCTTCCCCAAGCTTAGCCAAAGCATGTAAAACATGGGGTGGTGATTTCATAAATATCTTAAGGGCTGTTTTTTTTCCAACACCATTTATGTGCCCTGTAATATCACAACCGGTGATAGCATGGAAGCCTGGTAGTGCCACTGCTCTTTCTGGTCCAATATGATCGTATATTGGCTGAAGAGCCACTCTTCTTCTGGTTTCAGCGGCACCTGTCACAATTCCAGTATTCATGCCAAGTTGTGGAAGTCTTCTCAAGATCAATACAAACCAGTCTGTATCTTGTGTGAAGAAGTCGACTTCATTCCCAGATTCAGAGGCCACTTCTATGCCATGGGGAATCATTAGAGTATCAGCTTCTTCTTGTGTGCTTACAGCTGTTGTTGGAGGATGCTCTGGAGTGTTTGTTTTGACATCTTGCCGTGTGACTGTGACAATGGGATGTTTACATAATTGTATAGTTTTGTCGGCAAGGTAGATTGTCAGTTGATCTTTAGTTTTGCTGCTTGATAAGAATACTGATTTATTTACTATTGGTGTGGAATCTGCAACGAGAATCTCCACGTCGTTAGCAGGACAGGAATGGTATCGAATATCGTTCTTGAGCAGAAGAATCTTATCGTAATTGTCGAAAATGACACGGCCACCAATGTAGAGGTATTTGCTAAGTAGGGAGTCTATGTAGGATACAAATAACTTTCCAAATTCTTTACATGTGTTTGAAGTATGAACATTCATTAATGTTTGGACTACTGCCATTCCATCAATGATAAGGAAGCGCTTTACAATTGGTTTGACTGTTGACGTAACATTTTGGTATACACCAACCTGTTGTTGTGTGCTTTCGTTATTAACAGGTTCTGCAAGACCTTCCAGAGCATGTATTAAATTACTTTTGTTGACGCAAGGGTGCAAGTTACCATCAGGCTTCATAAGTACAGGATTTATGTTACTAAACTCGTACTGTGATATCGCTTGCTGTAAATCTAGGTCACGTCCGGATTTAGCTATGATCAACAGCCTGCTAAATAAATTAGTTGTAGACCTGAATTGAAAGTCCTTAGAACGACCCTTCATTGTTATTTTCTTACTTAAGGTATCCCAATTTAGATACTTCACTTTTGACATCCGATCCCAGAGATTTCTTTCACCAACAATACGTTCTTGAACAAAGGTAACTTTGGCCGCTTCCCCTCTGCTAAAAAGATTTAATATACTCTCCTGAGCATCATCCGTCAATGCCTGTTTTGTTATGATATGATGTAATTTATTTTTCTCATCGCTAAATATGTTCAATGGAGCAAGTACAGCTTTCATGCGCAACACTGCCTTTTCCTGTTTGTTTAGTCTGGCTCCTGATAGGTGATGATGACAGTCAGGTTTACTGTTGGATGTTGCCAACCCCAACATTTCCTCAGTTTCTTTTGAGATGCGGCTTAAGACGGGGGCAGTTAGACAATATTTTAGCAGAGATACTGGTTTATTTGTTATACCCTGTAATCCTCCGTCACCTTTGAGGTTTTTGTTCATCTGTTCTTGAGCGTGGTCTCCTCCTATTGTCGTGAATGGAATCTTGCTCTTGGTAACTGCAAATTCTCCAGAAACTAATCTGTCCCAGATATTACTGTGCACTTCTTTTGATTCATATGCTCGTGCCAAAAACTCCATGATATTTTGAGCATAGTCCAATCGATTGTAAGCAAAAAAGTATGTGGACATATCTTCTAGAGATGCCAGATGCAGCAAGAAATTTGGCTCAAGTACTGATCTGTGAAACTGTAGAAGAGTTTCAATTTGTTGCATATATATACGAAGCCATCTATACAGAGGGAATTGCATATGGTTTTCATGATATGCCTTGAACTGCAGCTCAAGATTCATACTTTCAATCTGAATGAGAAGTTCCTGATGAGCATCCTTGATCAATATCTTGTTTTGATTTCTGCATGCATCAGATAGTTTTCTAATGCCATCAGTAAGAACATTCAAACTGTCTTGATTCTCTGCGAAGAAAGCATCAAACCAAAGACCGGACAAAACTTGAAGTGTGATTTCATGTGCTTCTACTGCACGCCTGTAGTGACTTCCATTGATTATTTGATTAACTACTACTGAATTGTATAATTTTGCATCAAGCCACACATTTGGTAAACCACTATTTTCAATAGTTTTTTCTAGACATCTTATTCCACAGAGACTTGTATGAAAAGCCGCTGGAACTAACCACCACTTCCCTTTGTATTCATTGTCAAGAAACTCTAGCTTAATTGCCCTCTTGTATAAATCCATATCATAAGTCATCAGTACTGGATCAGTACTGTCTGGACAAGCTAATTTATTCAGCCTGTATACACTATCCATTGCCGTTACAATTGTCTGCCAATCATGGGCTGGTGCATTAATGGTAGGCATTGTATGTAATGTATCTAGTGGCGGAGAATCAGTGGTTGATATTGACGAGTTATAGGCTCGCCAAACTGGTATGGTCTGAGACTGATTATATGACTTGCTAACTGACACCGCTATCGGTGGCTCTTGTCGCTGCAGGTGACGTGCAAGTAACCATGCTGTGTCGATTTGATGAGCAAAGCTTACCTCCTGTCTGTTTTGCGCCAGTTTGAAATGTAAATAGTGAGGACTTGACGAAGGTTTTGGCGTTCCAGTAATCATGCATGGTCTCATCTTCACGACTGTTGAAGGTACATTTCTTATTTGGTCAAAATTTGTTGGTTGATTCTCTAACACAAGAGGCTGTGACAAAAACTCAAAAGCTTCAGGACGTGTTCTCTGGTATACAGATACTGCAGTTCCATGGAAAGAATTTCGGCCGTCATATGTGTC